TTGGAGGAAAATAAGATGATTGGATGAATATAGTCTCATATGCAAGCAGCGAATAATCCTTAACTCTCTGGAGGGCAAACTGTACTTCGAAAAAAGAGAAAATTCACTAGCCCTCAATGTCTTGAAGTTAGTGGGAAGCCAGAGAGATTCCACTTCCATCTCTCCTGAGCCCACATCTTCCATGAACGTGCCAAGTTCAGGGCTGTGGGAGTGAGGGCCAGATGGGCTGGATGTACAGGGCAAAGACATGTTAAGACTGTCCTTACACGGTGCCACTGTTGCTCCGTCACCTACCCCTTAAAAGACGTGTATAAAGCCTCAGTGAGAATTTCTTTCCCTCTTTCATCTTTCCTTTCCTTTGGGGGGGAAAAAACTTTTCTTTTGAAGTATAAGATATATAGAGAAAAATTACACTAATTATTGATAAACAGCTTGGATTATTATCAGGTGACCTGTGCATGCATTTTCTTTGTGAATGTGCCTACAAATAGCATTGTGGGGACTTACGGTATGTGTGTGTACCAAATGCCGTATCGTTTTCCAACGTGGTGGTACCAGCCTGCACTTGTGCCAGCATTGTGAGAGTTTCCACAGCTCCACATTCTTGCCAACACTTGGTTCTTGTCCACAGTTTAAATGTTCACTGTCCAGGTGAGTGTGGAGGGGTGTCTAACTGGGGTTTTAAATGCCTTTCTCTGATTAATGGTGGGGATGCGCACTTTTCCCTCTGTTCACCAGCCGTCTGGTTGACCTCTTTTATGAGCTGCCTTTTCAAGCCACCCACTTGTCAAGGGGCTGTTTTCCTGTCTGTAGGCTTGGAGTGTCCATTGGTCTGCAACTGGAATCTTTGATCCTTTCTCTAGTAATTTGAGAATCACTCCCTCGGTTGGGCTGAGGGGGAGAGAGCTAAGTAAATCTTAGAGAAAAATGCAAGTGACGTCTTCTTATGCCTCTTTGCACCCAGGTCAACTACAGGCAAAGCATTGACAAGCTGAAGTACAGCTCTGTGACCAACACTCCTCAGATTGTTCAAGCCAAAATCAATGCCCAGCAACTGAGTCATGTAAGTGACCCGCCCCTGCTCAGCCGGATGTGGGGGACTTGTGATTGCTTTGCAAGGTCTGGATATCTCGCTCCCCAAAGATTTGACTTTCATTGATGGTGACATATATCCTGTTACAACCATGAGAGGACCCTCTTTGATTTAAACTTTTTATTATAGAAAATTTCAAATACATTCAAAAGTAGAAAGAATAGCGTGATGAACCCCCAGGTACCCCTCACTCAGCTTCAATGACTTCCAATTCATATCAACGCATGGCCAGTCTTGCTTCATCTGTATTCCCATCCACTTCCCCCTCCGTATTATTTTGAAGAAAATCCCAGGTATTATATAATTTAATTTATAAATATTTTAGTGTGAATCTCCAAAAGATAAAAATAATTTTAAACATGTTTATACAGTGTTAGTATGTCACACCGAAAAACTAACAGCACTTCTTCATATCACCAGTGTCCATTTGGCATTCAGCATTCCGATTGTCTCATAAGGTTCTAATTTTGTTTTTTACAGTTTGTCTGAATCAAGCTCCAAATAAGGTCCATACTTTGTGATTAGTTGATATGACTTTAAGACTCTTCATCTTTAAGGTTTCCTCTTCATCTCTTTTCTTTCAAGTTGTGTGTTGAAGAAACTGAATTGTGTGTCTTGTAAAGTTTCCCACATCTGAGCTTTGCTGACTGCGTCCAGCATGGACATCTTGTGGTCCCCTGGCCTCCAAATGCCTGTAACGTACTAGTTGGATCTATAGGTTTGATCAGTTTCAGGTTTAATTTGGGGGCAAGACTGCTTCTCAGATGATGCTGTTCTGTTGGGAATCACATAATGTTGGGTTGGCTCTTTTTTGGGTGATTTAAGATGCCCTTCTTCCAGTGGGGGCAAGCATTAGATACTTATTCTTTGAATAAGTGAAAAAAGTAAGCTTCATGCCCTCAGGTTCTTCAGAGGAGAGTTGGCAAGGTAGCCCCAGAGAAGTCGTTTGCACACTCACTACTCTGAGCATGCATTTGAGCTGTTGGACTTTTCATTTGGCATCTTCAACCTGTTAATTTAGAACATTCGTAAAATTAGAGGCTTCCTTTTAAAATGCCTTTTTCCAGAAATTCCTCAGCTTTGGAGAAAGTGAAAAACAGAATGTTCTCTCCACTGTTCTCCTTCTGCCCACATAAAAACTTGCACTTACCCTGCGGGTTGATTTTAAATCCTATAGGTGAATTACCGCGCCGACTACGAGAAAAATAAGTTGAATTACACGTTGCCACAGGATGTGCCTCAGCTGGTGAAGGCCAAAACCAATGCCGAATTGTTTAGTGAGGTGAGCAAGCAGCATGGGTGAGAACGTGGTGGGAGTTACGCATGGAGGTGAGAATGAAGATGTGAGGATGGTCCAGCAAAGAGAGACCAGGGACTATTCTATCCAAGGAGAGATTGATCGAAGGCACCCATCATGTTCTAATTTTGCATTTTGCTGTCTCGTGCCGTGTGGTAGTTCACCGGGGTCAGTCAATCATAGCAACTGAATTCTCACTCTGAGTGCACATGGATAGTGTGTATTGGGACACACTCATCATCGTACACCTTGTATCCTCATATCATCATCATCCTGGTGACTTCTAGCTGCTGCCTGGCTGTGTGGGTAAAATTTAAGTTTTAAGAAGACCAGTTTTGTTTTGTTTCTGTTTTAGGGGGGACAGATAATTAGGTTTGTTTGTTTATAATGGAGGTACTAGGGACTGGACCCAGGACCTCGTGCAGGCTGGGCACGCCCTCTACCACGGAGCTGTAACCCCCCAGGAAGACCAGTCTTAATCACCAGAGTTTTCCGGGAGTCACATGTGGGCTGTGATTAGACTTCTCATGCCAGATGGGATTTGTAGGGCAGGAAAATTTAAAAAGGAACTAACTTTTTTGGTATGCTTCTTCTGTGCCGGACACTGGGATAGGCACTTTACGTATGGAATTATTCAATGATCCTAATCCCCTGGAGGTATTTATTGTAGAGACACAGTTGGTGGCATGGTCTTTGGTATCAGACAGACAGAGTCAGGCATTATGACCGTGGCAATAGCATTGCTTACATCTGCGTTGCACCTTATAAGCTTAGAATATCTGTTTTCATAGATACAATTTATTCTCACAGCCACCCTGAGGCAGGTAATATATTATTATTCTCCTGAATGATAAACTGAGGCTCAAAGAGGTAAAGCGATCTGTCCAAGGTCACATGATCAAGAAACAATGGCGCTAGAATGAACACATGGGTCTTCTCTTTGTCTTGTCCCACTTTACTGCCCTGCATGGCCCTGCAGTGAGAGAACCAATTAACTGGGTTAATAATTGCTGTTATCACTTCCATAATAACAGCCAAAATTCTGATCTGTAAACAGATGGAGACACCGACTTTATTATTAAAAAAAGTTTCTGTTCAACTTTTGGCAGGAGTATGGATAGCAACCTCCCTTCAACTGTGTTTTTGTTTGTCAGGTTAAATACAAAGAAGGCTGGGAGAAGACAAAGGGGAAAGGGTTTGAGATGAAGCTGGATGCCATGTCTCTGCTGGCCGCCAAAGCCTCCGGAGAGCTCGCTAGCAATGTAGGTTTTCTCTCATTAACTCTGAAGTGCATAAGAAACGGTTCTACTAAAATGCCAGTGGTCCTGTTGGAAAAAATAACAACTGTTAACACTGTAAACACCACCATGCTTTCATCTTCTACTGGGTTTGTGAAAGATGGGGGGTGTTTTTTCAGAATTGCTCCCCTTGCACTTGTTAAAACCAAAGCCCCTTAGGTGGCAAAGTTTCTGTCTCGCTCAGTTAACTTTCTGCTTTCTCTCAAGATTAAATACAGAGAAGAATATGAAAAAGCAAAAGGCAGAGTCCTGGGAACTACAGACTCAAGGCTTCTGCACTCCCTGCAGGTTGCCAAGATGAGCAGCGAGGTAAGCTCCACTCCCCAGCCCTTCACTTAGAGCTGTGTTGCTGTGAAAGATTTTCCCGACCTGATTCACCCGAGACTGGTTTGTTTTTTTTTTTAATTGACTTCCACTCATAATTTCTGTCCTGGTTTACTCGAAAAGGGTTTCCTCTTTCTTTATTTTGCCAAGGGACACTAATTTTTTAAAGTAGATGAGAAGTGTGTGGTCCCTAAGGGTGACCATCATCTACTGTTGAGGGTACAAGGTGTTTGGCTACATCTATTCATTCTACAGATGTTTAATAAGCAACTACTATATGCAGGATGCTGTGCGAGACACTGGGGTTGTAAGAGCAAACAATGCAAAACTTGTTCCTCCCTACTGGAGCTTAATTCTACTGGGAGAGTTCGCAAGGAAGCATCTTGTTCATTGTGGTGATGTCCTGGATGAATCCTCTGGTCCAAACACACTTGGTGTTCAAAATATTTAGCCAACAACTGGCGCATCCAGGCTCCAACCACTCAAAATGATGCTGCTTGTAAAACACTGTAATGGCTGAAGGTTAACCTTGGTAAACGTCACTTACCAAAAAGCCTTCGGGGAAGGAGAGTTCTGCTAGAAGGGACAGACTTGGTTTCTAATCCAGTCTTGTTTGTCAATGCTGAGCGGGCAAAAAGGAAACATGAGCATTGGGTTTCTGCTTTGTGATTGCTTGCCCCAACCTGTGAGGCCAGCTTATGCTGCTTTGGTGGTGTGGTTAGATACAGTTACCTGATGAGTCATTGAGGAGCCATGGCTTGAATAGAATCAGAGAGTTGGCCTCCTGGTTGCCATTTTGGATATGATGTGCATAGTCATGAAGCAGACAGGGACACTGAGAGTTTGGCTTCAGTTTAGACAGAGGACAAATTGGTATTTCCTATTTGCAGTTGGAGCCACCGGGGCCAAAAAGATTATCTTGCCCAAAGTCATAGAGTAGTCAGTGGTAGTGGAGGAGTAGAGAATTAGGTCCTGGAACTCTTACTTACTGGTACCATACTGCTTCTACTAGACTACCTTTCCTCACCATCATGCCATCATCACCATCATCACCATCACTACCACCGTCATCACCACTGTCACCGTCACCAGGACCATTGTCACCATCATCACCAGAAACACCATTACCGTACCATCATGACCACCATCCAGCCTCACTGCCAGCCTCATTGCTAGCATTTATCAAGTGTTAGCTATTTATCATCCCTGCACTAAAGGGGTTTCAGCTACTGTTTAATTTACTCATCACAATAGCCCTCCAAGGAAAATGAGCCCTTAGAGAGTTGATGTGACTTTCCAGAGGTCATCCAGCTGGCAAGGGGAGATCAAGTTTGAACTCAAGCTTGTCTGGCCCTGGAGCCCCAGCTTGGTTATTTTGCCTCTTAAAGCTTCTACGGAAACCATGGATAGAGTGTTCTCTTCCTGGAACAGCCAGTTAAAAAGATTTAGGAGGTATTCCTGCAGAGGCAAAGTAGTGTGAAGCCTCAGTTCGCAGGTGTCACCACCTTACAGAGCCAGGACTTGGGTCACACCCTTCGGACAGACAGATAGCACTGCCCGGAATGCCAATTCCTCCTGGAAACCTGGGCTTCCTTCCTGGGTTTTCACATCATTCCTGCCAAGTCAGGCTTCAAGTAATGGATCTTGTTTTGGCGAATTCAAGGTTGAATACAAGAAAGACTTTGAGAAGAGTAAGACCCAATTTCACCTGCCCATGGACATGGTCAACATCAGGCATGCTAAGAAGGCCCAAGCTCTGGCCAGCGACCTGGACTACAGGAAACAACTGCACGCGTACACTGCACTGCCTGAAGATATGAAGATTCTCTGGGCCAAGAAAGCCTACGGGCTCCAGAGTGAGGTGAGCCCTCGCTCATTGCCAGTTCTCCCCGTGCGTCTCTTGCAGCTGGGTACAGTGACACTTCCAGAGTGAATTTTAACGTGTACATGAGTCTATTATGTAACTTAGGGGACTAGGAAGAACCACTGGAGCTGTGACAGGCCCAGGGAGGATGGATGGCGGGGGTAGGGATGAGTCAAGACAGTGGAGACTAGAGGATGGAGGACTGGGACTCGGAGCTATTTCCAAAGCCAAGATGTGTTAGTAATGGGACAAAGCGAAGAGGAAGGAGGTGTTGAAGATGGGAAGTAAATCTGGGAAAGGTAACAGGTTGGTGGATAAGATCCTTAGTCAAAAAGTCTGAAAAGCCCTCTTTTTAGTGAGGTTGCTGTGGTTCAGGGCTCACGGAGAACAGGTTCTTCTGGTGGCAAGGTGGGCCCGTGGCTTCATCCCCAAGCAGAGTCCTTCCTGACTGCAAAAGAGTAGTGGGCAGCGCTTCTAGGGAGACAAATGCAGGAACGAGGACTTTCCTGACTCTCCTGTTAACTTTGCTCAGTCTGCGCCCATGATTAGAGCTTGGGTTTTCTCTTCCAGCTGCAGTACAAGGCTGACCTGGCCTGGATGAAAGGAGTCGGGTGGCTGACAGAGGGCAGTCTCAATTTGGAACAGGCCAAGAGGGCCGGACAGCTGGTCAGCGAGGTAACCTGAGCCCAGGCCCCGGCTTCTAGTCCTTCTCAGCGCGAGTCACCACCGAGAGGGATATTTTCCTCTGATTGCCCCTCCCCAACCCCCAGGCTTATTTTGAGCAAGACACAGAGGAGAACTTCATTTTCCCCTGTAGCATACCCTGAACTAACTTCCCACATCCTTGAGATTCCCGGGGAGGTATTTGTAAGAAGCCGACCAATTTACTTACAGTAGTGGCACCCAAAGCATCCTTCAGAACGATCGTGACGTACAGTCAGTTAGCACGTAGGAGACGTGCTTGTCAGGTGAGGAGTGTGTGATTCCTTCTGAATCAGAGAATCTGGTATTTGGAGGTCAGCATTCTCATCAGGCCTGTGACTTTGGGCAGGTCACCCAATCCTGCCGATCCTCTTTCTTATAAAAATGAGGAAGTTGGATAGGATGCTCTCCAAAGCTCCTGCGGCTCCGAGCCTGCGCTTCTTTGCACCTCGTAGAGCTGGCTGTGGCAGCGGGCAGGGGAGGGCTTTTGAAGGGCGTTCCATTTGAAGCGTGACTATTTCAGGAACACTGGGATCTTCACAGGGGGTTCTTGTTTCGGCGCCAGGAAGGCTGAGTTGGCATTTCTCTTGCATATGGCGATAATGGTGATAGCAATGGCTGCCATTTGTGGACGGATAGTAGCAACATCATCACTGCTGCCATTAATTGATGGCGTTGAGGGTGTTCCGTGCCCGTTGTTCATGTATTGCTCACATTTAATCTTCCTATGTGAGTAGGCACTATTATCCTTCTATGAATATTCCCATTTTGCATATGAGGGAGGAGAGACGAAGTCGCATTCAGTAAGCAGCGTAGCTGGGGTTGGTACCCAGTATTTTGGTCCAATGCCCCAGCCCTCGGCCGTTAGGCAACATTGGATCCCCAAAGCACGTTCTGTAATTTATTCTTTTTTTTAATTAAAACTTTTTCTAACTGTAATTATTTTCCCCCTTAAAGGAGGCACTGGGGATTGAACCCAGCACCTCATGCATGTCAAGCATGTGCTCTACCACTGAAATATACCCTCCACCCCCCCTTGTAATTTATTCTTCCCTTTCCACTGTATTCTTCCTTCTGTCAGATACAGACACACTTGAGGTTAGAGTGTGTGAATGGAAGGCAGAGAGAAGAGAATGCCCTTGGGAGTCCCCACTACCTGACTTCTTGGGTAGGGGTGTGGTAAGGGGACCCAACCAACCGATGCTTTGCGTTAGGAATGTGTTTCTACCTCACTTCCTGTGCCTACTAACTTTTAAGCTCCTTGAGGGCCAGGAAGATATCACTTCCTTTGCCTTCTTAATATGCTTGTGTGGCAGTGGGGGCAGGCCCAGTCCTAATGCTACCGGGTCCCTTTGCTTTGAAAACAGAAAAACTACAGGCAGAGGGTGGACGAGCTGAAGTTCACCAGTGTGGCCAACAGCTCGCAGATGGAGCACGCCAAGAAGAGCCAGGAGCTGCAGAGCGGGGTGAGTCCACGCTGCCCTTTCTCCCCGAGCTGTTGTGTCCCAGGCCTGGGAGCCTCCGGGGACAGCAGCAGGTGCTGCCCAGGCACGATCCAAGGACCAATGCGCCTGCCCTTTCATTAGGCTGCACCCAGCTTCTCACAGGCTTCCAGGCTGTCTCTGGGGACTGGATGCCAGGCCTCCCTGCCTCACCCACCACACTTCTCCTCTATTGTTAAGGATAGCTGTCAGCTGGCGTTATTCCTTTTCAGCCTCGTTCCCTCTTTTTTCTCTCTCTCATCAAAGACTCCGTTATCCTGGAGCTATTCGAGAATTATCTTGGAGGAGGGTAACACTTGCTTGTGGGATGTGTGCCTTTCATGGCCACTTAAGGTCAAATATGAGAGGCAAGACAATGAAACGCTACCATAATGACAATGTGTACATTATTTACACATTGGTGGTCAACAGCCAGGCAGGTGTAGCTGCTGCCACCTGGCCAGGACCTTCCTAGTGTTTCTTTCTAAAGGTCCAGGTGCACCTGTCAGAAAGGATGCCGTCAGTATCAGAGTCAGCAGAAAGCCATTGTCTGGAAACTCAGTGTGGGGAGTGGGTGAGGCGGGGAGAGAGAAAGCAGGAAGGGTACGTTTTCTGGGAAGGAGATGGTCCCTCAAGTTGTCTTTTGGTCACTGTTCCTCTCCAGGTGTCAGTAGCGGTGGCTGCGTTAGGGTTGTTTATGGGCTGCAAGAGGCAGAGGATGCTTGCTTTCCCCACCTGGGGAGTCTGCGCTCATCTGAGCCCTCCGGCGGGTTACTTTTGTGGCCGTGGACAGTGTAGATGGGAACAGCGTGGGGAAGTTGATGCCTCCTCAGGGGAAAGGTGTAAAACCAGAAACCTTAGAGGGCTTCTCAGGTTGGTCCCCTGGCCACAGTCTTCTCTCAGCTTCTCACGGCTGCTGCTCCTTCTCCCGTCACGTCTTCTGCCCCGAGCCTCGTTTCCTGTACACTGCCAGCCAGCATCTGGTCTGGTCCGTCTTGTAATGGACTTTCCACATAAGACACAGAAATGCCGAGCAGCCACCCACCTCCTCCCTTGCCACCTGCCGCTGACCCAGTGCTCTCTCCCAACAGGTGGCCTACAAGGCAGGGAACGAGCAGTCCGTCCATCAGTACAGCATCAGCAAAGACGAGCCCCTCTTCTTACAGGCCCGAGCCAACGCCGCCAATCTCAGTGAGGTACAGCGAGGGGCAGCGGGCGGCCCCGGGCTCTGCTTCCCTGCGCGTAGGCGCCTGGTCCACAAAACCCACCAGCCACATTGCTGTGTCTGTGTCAGCCGAGGCTGCGTACATCTGATCTTTGTAAATAGCTCCTTGTGAGAAGCACCTTGTCCCTGACCGGTGTTTAAGTAGGGAGGGAAGGGCAGCCTTTTATAGGAACGAGCTGGTGGGAGATTTGAACCACCGACTGATGGGGTAGGAGGCAGTGGTTATTCCTCAGTTGAAGCTGAAACAGCATAAGAGTAGTGATAGAGGAAAGTAAGTAAGAGCTCAGACATTAGCTCCAAACGGCCTGGGTTTGCCCCTTGCTTCTAATACTTACTAGGTATGCAGCCTTAACCAGATTCTTTGCTCTCAGTCCCACTGGTAAATGAGGACACTCCTGGTCCCCTCTGTAACGAGTTACCTTGAGGCTTCCATGAGCTGACATACAGAAAGCACCCCGAGGCGTATGCACAGGGCAGCTATTCGTGAGACACAAAAGCATGCAGAGTCCCAGCTTTGCTTCTCTGTCTTCCAAGGAGGGGCCTTTCTGGGTTCTTGCATGCAGCTCCCAGGTCTTTGGGGTCTTGATCTGAGTAATGGGTCAAGGGGAGAATTATAAGCAGCAACCAAAGCTAAGGTGATGGACACACAGAAACGGACGGGAGTCTTCCGGAAGAAAGAACTTAAAATCTGAAGATGCGGGCAGGACAAGAAAGGGGAGGAGCAAGGAGGAGACCCATGTGGACTAGAGGCTGGGCTCAGGAAGAGAAAAGGGTGCAGCTAGAGTAGCTGCCGGGCTGGTGGGACGTGCAGACCGACATGGAGAACAGACTTTTCAGAAATGCTGCTATGTGTTGTGCAGTGTTAGTCCACCTGTGACTTGTCATTAAGACTTCCATGAAGAATCCTAGTATTTTCCAAGGCTTCTGGAGTTCAGTTTCTGCTTCTTTTGGCTGAAGCTCTGTCTTTCAAGAGGCCTTAAGACAAAAATAAGAAGGCCTGGTTATATCCAGGTTATAGGTGTCTCTGGCTCTCGGGGTTCCTGTGGAAGGATGTAATTGACGTTTGCCTCCTGAAGAGGTTGGTACAGAGTCTGGGGAAGCCCTCTCACATGAAGATGATTTCTTTTTCTCCTAAATCCCCTTAGAAACTGTATAAGAGCAGCTGGGAAAACCAGAAGGCAAAAGGGTTTGAGCTGCGTCTTGACTCCCTGGCCTTCCTGGCAGCCAAAGCCAAGAGGGACCTGGCCAGTGAGGTGAGTCAGTCCCCAACTTGTACTCAGCGTCACAATCCTGACGTTTTACATCTGGGCAGGTTCTTAATCTCTCTGAGCCTCAGAGTTCTAATCTGTGAAATGGAGATAAATACGACCACCTTGCAGTGAGATAATCATGTAAGTGTCTAATACACTGCTTGCCACACACTGGTTATTGGTAAGTGGTAACTGTTATTATTCGTGGTAGTAGCCAGAGTAGCAATCCAGATGACTCATTTTACAGGTAAACTGATGCCCAGAGATGTTCTGTGACTTCCTGAGGATGTGGGGGCCTGCTGACAGTTGAGTACAGGCTCTCGCATTGAATAAACGGGATAAAATCCCAGCTCCATCACCTACTAGCTTGGGGCTTTGGGCAGGTTGCTTAACCTTTCAAAATCTCAGTTAACTCATGGGTAAATTGGTGACTGCAAAATGGTTATGAGGAAATGAAATGAATTGATGTGTGTTAAGTATCTATGGTTCGCTGCTGTCTGTCATGAGTCTGCTGTGAGATAGGGAGCCTAGGCCAGAATGTGAGTCAAACTCTGCTTCCTTCATCAAGAAAGCCTTGCTTCAAAAAAATCCCAAATATATACATATGTATATATTTATATTCTTTATCTGTTGTGTGTACAGTACATGTACATGCAAAAATACATCCATAAATGTGTATAGGTGTCAGCTGAACTGAACAATGGCTTGGCAATGGGGATGATATACATTATGACACAAGCCCCTTATCGCATCAGCTGGTAACATTTTACAAATCAACACTTGTCTGCAGGTGCACTTTGAGTGGCACAGATTTACACCATCCCTGGCTCATTGTAAGTGATCAATAACTTGTGACAGTTATCGACACCGTTGTTACTGTTGTTGGCAGAGATGAGAGTAGAGCCCAGGTCTCCTGATGGCACAGTGATGATGATGTTGACATGATGCCACACATGAGTATCCTGTTACAGTTTTCAGAGCACTTCCATATTTATTCTTTCTTCTGATCCTCATTACTCTCGGCCTGGTGTTTTTTTTTCAGGTCAATGTGCTGCCTTCTGCTCTCCATAATGCCCAAATATTTAATTTGAGTTTTTTTCTGAAACAGCAATTGCATTTTAGATATTCTGTTTTTTTTTCATTTCCTGACAACTTTTTATTGATAATGTTCTCCCTATAACCAGAAAAAAAGGTTTTAAAGTGGCTTTCATGAAAGTAATGGCTACTTAAAGATAAACCCAGAAAGCGTAATCTCAAATCATACAGAGGCAAGATGAAATTTCACCAGGAAATTGGGAGAAGACTATTCTGAAGCTGAGCTTTCAGTTTGGCTCTGAGCTCTCTGGCAACCAAAGTGAAAAGGGAAATAATGAGAAGTAATATTTAGTTTCACCATTTGATGAAAAGAAATATATCAGTTGTTTCAGGAAGGCAAACTTTTTATGACACTGATTCTAATAGGATCTGTTATATGGCTTCTTTTTAACTTTCATGCATGGCTTGATACTTAATTCCTTTAGGAGATTCTGATGTACTGCTGCTCTCTTCCTCCCATTTAGGTGAAGTACAAGGAGGATTATGAGAGGTCCAGAGGGAAGCTCATTGGGGCCAAGGGTGCCCAGGGGGATTCGCAGATGAGCCACTCACTGCAAATGTCCAAGCTGCAGAGTGAACTGGAGTACAAGAAGGGATTCGAGGACACCAAATCCCAGTGCCATGTCCCCCTGGACATGATCCATCTGGTGCACGCCCGCAAGGCGCAGCACTTAGCCACAGACATAGGCTATAAGACGGTGTCCCATCGCTTTACAGCTTTGCCCACAGACATGAAGGTGGAATGGGCCAAGAAGGCTTACGGTTTACAGAGTGATGTAAGCTCTGTGTGCATGTGTGTATGTGTGTGTGTGTGCATTAATATTGGTGCAAGCTTTTCCCAAACTCTTCAAGACCGTAGCTTATACTTAGACATACCTGTTTCTGGATCCCTAAGTGAAAATGTTTTAGCTTCCTAGTGCTTTAACTTTTATTCAAACTATGCCCATTCTAGAATCTAAAATGAGATTATCAAACAGAAAATCTTACAGCTACTTTTTCCTTCTTGGAATTCTGATCTACGTATGTTTGCCATGTTCCTTTTTATTGCTGAGGGTGGAGGGAGAATGTATTTGTGACATTCTCAACTGTGGCTTGCTTTGGGACGGCATCAGTGGTACTCACTCCCACGCTGGTAGTCCCATTTTCAGAAAGGGCAGCTTGCTAATCGTCGACAACCCTCTCCCCTTTTTCCTTATATTCCCCACCTGGTTCTGTTGACTCTTGCATGAGAAAGTTGGGGAACTGAGAAGTCAGGTCAGCAGGAGCCAGACTGTCATGCACAGGACGAGGGGAGGGGGGAGGGGGAGGGGGGGCAGTGCAGACACACCCTTCCAAATAGAGCTCTTTCAGGATGGAGAGACGATGTGCTAGTTTTAGAGAAGTGTCCATTTAAATGGCCTTCCATTAAAACTACTTCTTCAGTGGCAAGAAAGAAATGAGACACCCCCACCCGCCCCGCACCGAGGTTCGTAGGAAGGAATCGGCACGATGGGAAGCCTGGGCTGTCTTGTGAAATTCTCTCAGATAGCTCCCCACCTGGGTTCCGTTGTGAGCTCTCATTTTCTTCTCCCCGCATGTCATTTTAAACAAGAAAACGGGGAAAGCAGACAATGAGGGTGCGTTTCTTTCCGAGGAAGATGCTGGTCTGTAATGAGGGACGGGGGCTGACTTGGCCCCTCCCGCTCCGCCCCCAGTAGTGTCGGGTGGGGCCAAAGCCACCATCAGCGGGTCGGCTCCAATTAAGGGGGAAATTAATTTACATTTTGGAGCCCTACCTGTGACTGTGCAGAAATGGATAAGACAAAAGTGGCGTCTAATTTGACTCAGCTGGCACCAAGGCGACATTGGGGAGCCGTTAATAGCCCTCTAAATGTCTGCACACCAACAATGGCCTGCTTTTTTTTTTTTTCCTTGCTTTCTCCTTTGTCAGAACCAATACAGGGCAGATGTGAAGTGGATGAAAGGCACGGGCTGGGTCGCCACCGGGTCATTAAATGTGGAGCAGGCGAAGAAGGCAGGAGAACTCATTAGCGAGGTGAGATTCCCTGACAGCGTGCAGCAGGCCTGGCTGCATTAGGCGTGCAGCATTTCTGTATAAAATTAAAATAATTTCCACTCAAAAGGCAGAGAAAAAGGCAAAGCTACATGAAAGGCCTCAAAACCCAGACTAGGGCTGGTAATTAGAGAGAAACCACATACCAAACACACCCCAGTAGGAGCCCGGAGAGCCCTGGCAAAAACAAAGTGGGTGACAAATGATATTATGAATAATAATGACAATCAAACGGAGCTCAATTGCTTCCCACCAGCTTACCTTTTTAATGAAGCAACGTGGGAGAGATGATGAAAAAATGCATTTATTGCGCCCAGAAAGCCCTTTTGTGACTTAATGCACATTTTCTCCCTCTTTCTTTCTGTGGCAGTGTAAACAGTGTTTGGATGGTCACGTGGTGTTGAACACGTGACATAGTTCTTTTTCGTTGGAGGGTCTCACTTCTATTTAAATCTCAGTCCTGTCTACTTGTGGCTGCCCCAGCTGGACTCTCAGACATGACGGCTTATGAAACAAGCCCTTTCCTCACATTTTAGAGCAGTATCCTGGAGCAGATCTTTTAAAGACCAGGTCAGGGTTTCTCAACCTTGGCCATGTTGACATTTTGGTAATTCTTTGATGTGGGTGTGTCCTTGGCTTTGTAGGATGTTTGGCAGCATCCCTGACATCTGTGCACTGTATGCTAATGGCACCTCTTTCCAGTTGTGGCAACCAAATACATCTCCAGACAATGCCGCAGGGTGGAGCGGCATCAGACAGGACACATCAGGGAGCTGTCACTGCCTCATGATCACAAAGAGGCTGCACACCCCAAACAACCCAAATGCTCTCTGTCACTTCTGTCTGGGCAGGGACTTGCTCAGAAGGCACGTGACCATTTGTTTAGTTGCCTCCAGATTAGCCTGGTTTTTCTGGACTCTTCTGGGTGGGGAGCAGACCGTACTGGCCATAGTCCCAGAAGACCTCAGCTTTGTCAGTGAGCAGCCTGGGACCCTGTGTCCCAAGAGGAGATTTTTCTTAACTGAATGTATAGTTAAAACAGAAAGACTTCCGTGGTGTAAACACACCTAATATTTTGACACACAGCATTGATGTTTTCCCACGGGAGAGCATTCTAGTCACCTGACACATCACAGAGCTTATTTCAAAAGTGGCCTTGCTCTGACTGGCCGAATTTTTAGGAATGTGAGTTGACACTCAAGGCTCAGAAGACCCTGGGAGTTACACAAAGACTATACTGCCCTCAGCAGTTCAGTCTCATTAAGGAAAAGCCCTCTTAGGAGGATGAACAGGAGAAACTTACAGAGAAAATATTCAAGTTGGAAGATTCATGATCCCAACTCTCAATATTGGGCCCACTCATAAAATAAAGACCATCATGCACATAATTTGGACTTTGAGATGATTCCTTCACGCAGCTAAGCCTGACAGCCAAGGGATCTTTTGAGAACCATTTGTCCCACAGTGGTCTTACTTTTCCACCTTACTTTGCAAACTTACTCAACAAATTTGCTTATCTTCTGCACTTTATACCAGCCCTCAAACTTCAGGAAGGCACGACATCTTTCAGCAACTTGTTGCCAACCAGCTTCTTCCAGTTTGCCACGTTTCCAGTTTAGTGCCAAATTGGATTAACCTCTTAGTTTTCAGGCGGAATGCCAGGCACTGTTGAAAGAGCCACAAATGCACACACACGTGTCATTTAAATCAGGAGTCAACAAAACTTTTGTGTAAAGGACCTGATGGTAAATATTTTTGGTTTTGTGGGCCACACTGCTTCTGTTAGTTACTATTCACCTCTCCCATTGTAGCATGATGCAGCCATAGACAATACGTAAATGAATGCACATGACTGTGTTCCAATAAAACTTTATGTACAAAGACTAGGGGCCAAATTTGGCTGGATATTGAGCTGTGCCTTCTTAAGACAACCTAGTAATACAAAAGTCCAACTCAATAAATAAGGAAGTGTATATAAAACATTTGTTTGAAGGGAGAAAAGATACCCTTCTTAATTCTATTAAGGTAGCAACTGTTTTAGTCTCCTGGAAATGTACTTTTATTAAAAAAAAAGCAGGAATTAATTTAAGCATGATTTTTAGAATACTTCAAAACTGAGTATCTAGGATTTTGCCAGCACTTACATTTTCTTGTAGTTTGTTTATTTGTTTCAGTCTCTTTCAAATTGTATGACGACTCCTTTCAGGAACAGCACCCTTGTTCCTGTTGCTGTAACGTTTTGAGACATTATTGCATATGTTAACCTGAACCGGTTTCTAGCGTGATCAGCTAGTGTACAGTCACTGTTAAATGCAGGGGTTTTGACTATGATAATCTCTGCCATGTCGTTTGTGGAAGGAAAACAGAAAGCTTCAACTGATAAATGTAACGATGAATGTTCTTTCTTGCTTGGGAGACCCAAACTAAGATATGTAAACAACTGGAGACAGTATTTGAAGGCTATAAAAAGAGTCCTTTCCTAAGTGTGTCTCCAATTTTACTGGTATAACCTAATTTTGAGATGTTTTCTTTGCACCAGGTAGAAATACTTTAATGTTAATTGACACGAGGTTATTCTTAAATTGAAACAAATATTAACCCAAAGGCATCTAGGATATAAAGATGGAGGAAGCCGAATAATAATTATGTTCACAAATTCACTCTAATCTCAAGCAACCTATGATTTTCTCTTTCAAATGGCATGAAAGAGCAGCACAAAATTCACAGCTTTGATCTTTTTCTGCTCAACAGAAGAAGTACCGTCAGCATCCAGATGCTTTGAAGTTTACCAGTATTAAAGACACTCCGGAGATGGTCCAGGCCAGAATTAGTTATACCCAAGCAGTGGATGTAAGCGATAATGTATATACATTATGACTCTAAGAGTGGGCTCCTCTTTCAACCCTGCGATTGAAGCCGAGGGGTTCTTGGCTTGCTCCTTCTGTTGTTCTAAGGATGAAGGAGCTTCTTATCCTTCGCCGAGGCGCACCTTAGCGGGGGTACTTCCTCATTAGGATGCAAACGGGGTGTCACCGCCGCTCTTAGGATGCCAAGTGGGGCTCCACCACCGCTCTGCCCCATGCTCTCTTTCCTTCCCATTTGCATGCCTCCAGGGTTTGTCTGTGGTGAGGCCTTTTCCCCTCTCCTTTTGTTCTGAAGCATTGTTTTCAGAAATGGGACTTTGGGGCAGAATTCTTGGTAATTGGAATACTTAGCAATTGGAATGCTTAGGGTTTCTTGGGACCCACGGCAAAGAATTCATGCTTTCTGAATTCCCCCAAAGACTTTGAAAATGGTTTGGATCTGATTTACGTTCGTTAGACTAGCTTTTAAGCTATTTCCCATATTCATTTTTAAAGTGAAACCAAGATCTGGCCTTTGCAGGGTCCCGTGGAGACGAGATGGAAGGGTGAGATCCTATAAAAATTCACGTTAGGACGTGGATTAGCCCTGTTTGGCTGATTTTACTGAGAGAGGCCCCCAGGTCATCGCGAGGGAAGACATGTCTTTTAAATATCTTCAGATCAACTTGCCACGAGGGAAACTGACAAACCTTGATGGGGAAGGATTTCAAAATTGTCTCCTGTGTTTCCCAGCTGAACAGATTATTCCTGTTGCGCTTTATTCAGATGACATTCTGAGATGGTCTGAGTGCCTGTCAGAATATATTATGGGATGATTTACAAACTTGTAAGTTCAGGAATTTATAATTTCTTGACAATCAGCCCATCAGAAGCAAATTGAATTCTGAGAAATGTAGATGGTCAAACAAGAACTTTTGTATAGAAAAAAAACAATACCTGCTTTTTCCTTATCCTAACCAACTCTAGGGGGCACTGCTGTGATACGCAGAAATTTGGACACATCTAATAAGATTCAGGATGGAAAAGCCTGGTTTAGAAACTTTCTTTGGTGGTGGATGCCAATTCCATGTGTCATTGCTCGCTACTAGAATTATCATGAGCCCAGATCAGAGTTCTGGGTGAACAGCACCCCAGACTCACCCAGGAGACGTTCATTAGCACAAGAATCATTGAGATGCAAGGGGAAGCGGGTGAGGATGGAAGTAGATCCGGGGAAAGTCTCACCTGTGGAAAAGCCATGTTCCCTTGTGCTTGCTGAATTGTGATGCCCTCTCCTAGCGTATAGTTAAAAGCAGAATTACCAGATGTTAACCAGAACTCATTTTTTTCACTTGACACACATCTCAGCAGTATGCTACAGGTGGAGTGTTAAGTGAGAGGGGAGTTTCAGCCCATCATGTTCTGAGCTCGGAAGTAGAACTCGGGAGGGAATGAAACGCGTGTCATCTCGCTCGCTGTGTAGTCTGGTGGAGGCAGGACGCCCGAGATCCTGTCTCTTCTGGGAGGTGGCAGCTGCATCACCCTTGTCTCCCGAGGTGTAGCTTGGCTGATGGATGCACGGGGGAGGCTTCTGGGTTTAATGGGAACCTCTCTCCATCCACAGAGGTTATACAAGGAACAAGGAGAAAACATAAAGCATCATTACACGCAGACAGCCGACCTCCCTGAAGTCCTGCTGGCCAAGCTGAATGCCATGAATATCAGCGAGGTGAGGCGGATGGAGGGGGCGCTGGTTTTAATTTCGGGAGATCACGGGACCTGTGCAGTTGCTCTGCGTCCCGTGCTCGGATGCATCCTGGGCTCCCACACTGGGTTTAACGCTCTGCTGTCACCATCTTGAAATCTGAACAAGGGTCCCCCATTTTCCTTTGCACTGGGCCCTGCCAGTCACATAGTTGGTCCTGCTGAAGAGTCAAGCTCATTAACAAGGATGAGACTAGGAAAACTTCCTTAGGACAAAGGGCATCTGTACTGCAGGGCTGGATTATGGGAGCATCATCAGAATACAGGTGAGGACCTCCAGTGGCTGTGCTGAAGAGGGACCAGGGAGACTTAATTCGTTCCTTCCATGATCTCTATCAGCACTTCCTTCCTTGCTCTTCAGCAGAGATAGTTGAGTTTTCTTTGTTCTACATAAAGAGCTGACCCTACAGCCTCGTGCCTCCTTCTTCCAATCAACTTGCTGCTCAGGGCAATCTGGTTCTGACTCCAAAGCTCTTGCCTTTTAAACCCCGCCCCCACCCCCCGGCTCTCCCCTCCGTCGGTGGGCATAAGGCAGCATTCAACTCTTTGTTGGTTTTTGCTAAGCCACAGTGATCTCTAACTCCAACTGGGGGAAAAAAACTCCACAACAAACTGGATTCTCATTTTGGTGATGGGAATTTAGGAAACCACCAGGTCACATGAAGGTCTTTATTTGCGCACATCTTCCCAACAGACGCGGTATAAGGAATCCTGGAGCAAACTTCGAGACGGTGGATACAAACTGAGATTGGATGCCATTCCATTCCAGGCAGCAAAGGCTTCCGGTGAAATCATAAGTGATGTGAGCGGCCACCTCCGTTACTGGGACAGTGTTTAACACTCGCCAATTTTTATTCCCTTTGCCCCTAACCCCTGCCTTCTTTTGCCTGTGGATAATATCCTCTCCCCTCCCCACTGACTGTGTCAGGGCAATCAGATAACGACCAGTGAGAAAGAACATACCTCACAACAACAACGAAAAATCCCCTAGCTAGGGTACAAAGCCGATGCTGGACTGTAAATACGGACCCTGGGCAGATGAAATGCACTCGCCACCAAGCGTTTTCCTAAAGCGAGTCCATGTGAAGAGACTGTTAACAATGCACCCACCTTCTTCCAGTGCGGGCCGCCCCGGCGCTGCCGTGTCCTGCCATTTCACATCGCAGCCCTTCAGTCTTTGGGAGGCTTGCATATGAAAGAATAGGCCTTCTGACTACTCCCGCGCCTTTTCTTTTAACTCACCCAGTTACTGTCAAAAGAACAAAACATTTTCGCCCAATACCCACCTCTTCCATTCCGTGTCCCTTGTCCTCGAGCTGTTACTCTCTCCCGCTCTCTTTCCCTTTAGTACAAATACAAAGAGGCATTTGAGAAAATGAAAGGGCAGATGCTCGGCTCCCGGAGCTTGGAAGATGATATCAGCCTTGCCCATTCAGTGCACGCGAGCTCTCTGCAGAGCCAAGTAAGTGGGAGAGAACGCAGCAGAGCTGGGGGGCCCCCACCTAGCGACACACAGCCGACAGATGCCGTGTGTCCTTCTGGCTGCGGGTATTGGCTCTGTCCTGACTAGCGAGGTGGCCTGGTCAGGTCCCTTGGGCCTTCTGGGCGTCAGCTGCTTCCTCTGTCGAGTGAGAGGTTGGACTAGTTGACCCCTTAAGCTCCCTTCTGGGCTGGACATTCTGTGGCTTTGACCCATGGCCACAAATGGGGGCCGCTGGGCTGGATTTGGATGGCAGGGGTGTTTCATTGGGTCTGCAGAGCAAATTCATTGCAAACCTTTAAAAATGGAAATTTTACACAAAACTTGTAGATTCTGGGCAGAAGCCAGGCTTGGGTTCCTCAAGGCTGCGGTTGAAGTTGATTACCGAGAGCACCACTTAGAAGGCATCTCTGCTCTCCTGGTCACGCAGCCAGCCCCTCCTCCCCAACTTCCTCAGCTCATTTGTGCTACCTGTCTGGCTCCTGGAGGCCTCTTAGTTTACACCCCTTGATTTTGACTCTCTGGATGCTGGCACATGTGTGTGTATGGTACCTCCTTGCGCATATGTGAGTTGACTAATGGCAGTGATGACATCTGTGCCCAGTGGGTAGCAGAGGACTAAACACTTTTATGTGCAATGTCCCATTTAATCATCAAATTGTCTCTAGGAGCTTCACTTGTTAATCATCCTGGTTTGCTGATAAGGAAATCTAGAGTCTGAGGGTCTTTCTTGCCCAAGGTCAGCTAGAAAGGGGCAGAGCTAGGACATGGAGCCAGCTCTACGTCTCATGCCCTCTCCACAGTTTCACGTGTTCTCTGCCTCAATTTCCTTGTTTTTAACATTTCTTTCCGCTTTCTGTGCTGGGATACTGACCAAGGAGTGTGAGATTGGATGTGAATTGTCCTTGGATTTATACTAGGGGTGAGGGGAGGATGAGCGGAGGTGGGAGTGGGAGGTCAGGGAGGAGTGGCTGGAGTTCAGAAGGCAGTGGGAAGGATGGAGGAGGAAGGGGTGGTGATTATGCATCTGACTCCCAAGAAAGCCCCGAGTGAGTTTCAGGGGCCTTCCCGCAGCTCGTCCCAGGACTGTTGTGGAGCTTGAGGTCTGCAAATGGGCCTCTCCCCTCCTCCCTCAGTGTGCATGTTGGGCTCTTGGGAATACCCGTCCCTCAGAACTGGCTTTTCAAGCATCCGCCCACTTCTCCTGGCCCCCAGATTTACTAGGACGTCATCTGATGTTTGAAGAGGCTCTCCATCAGCAGCCTGAGAGGAGACTCCTTGGTGTCTCAGATCTGAACTTGAGAGAGTGATGGGGAGAAACTTGGGGGAGCAGGAGGCAGGTTAGCCCTGCATCTTCTTGCCCCTGGAAAATGGGGAAATCTAAAGACTTGAGCAAGGGAACCACTGACGTTATATGTGTCCCTTGAACTTCTGTGTTTTCCAGAGTAGGGGAACCCTGGATCTTGATCATCCAGATCAATGACCTCCAAGAGTCGGGGGTGGTGAGTAGCAGGGCCTGGAGACCAGTCCTTCTTATTAAGCCAGTCCTTTCAAGAAAGGAATGCTGGCCCTGCCAGGAAAGCTTCCCGGGCTTAACCTGGGACAGTCACATCCCAGTTTCTCTCCTGATGGTCCTGATGCAAATGGATGGCGGCTTTGAAATAGCTGCTGTTGATCTGTCTGCCCATCTAGGTGAATTACAAGAAAGGCTTTGAACACTCAAAGGCGCAGTTCCATCTGCCGTTGGACATGGTAACCCTGGTGCATGCCAGGAAGGCTCAGACCCTGGCCAGCGACCAGGACTACAGGCATCCGCTCCCCCAGTACACTTCCTTGGCGGAAGACCTGAGGCTTCGCTGTGCCAAGAAAGCCCACAAGTTGCAGAGTGAGGTAAGGGGACCTGGCCTCTCTCTCGGGGCTCTTTTCCTCTTGAGTTTGATCACAAGGCAGTGGCCCACAAGCTCCTGTGAGCTCAGTGGGGGCTCCAGAAGTGAGGACTCCTACACCTGGGTTTTCTTCTAAAACACTGCCTTAGTTGTTTCAAACTGGGTTTTAAAACTGTGCCTCGCTCTTAATAAGAACAGTTGCACAGTTCGAATACTAATAACAGCAACCGTTTATTGAATATTTCTGCTGAATTTCTAAGCATTGCAATTTCAGGCGTGATCTCATTTAATCCTCAGAATAACCCTGTATCGATCGTCTTTATCCCCATTTTACAGAGCAGCTATAATGAGGCTCAAAGAAGTTAAGCAGCTTGTGCAGATCACAGAACTATAAATGAGAAAGTGGGTGCTGAGACTTGGGCCTAGGTGGTGTCTGTCGAAGATGTCAAGATTTGCTAATGGTGTTGCCTCTGGCCCCACGTGGGACTGGAGGTTCCTCTTTGCTTCCTTTGTTTCTGTGCCACTGGTCTTCTCCAGAGGGCTAAGATGCGCTGGGAGAGGTGCACTGAGCCCCTTTGGAACTGACCCACTTCAGGCAGAGGAGAGTGCTGGCAGGAGGGCAAGGCAATTAGGGCCCCAGAAATCCTTGCTGGGTGCTCCCAAGGAGTCTTGGAGGCCTTTGTGTCCTCCCGTGTGCATTTCTAGCTCAAGCTGCCTGTTTTCTGAAGGAGGCAGGCCCGGAAGCGGTGGGAGGCATGGGAAGATTTCCTCATTCCCAAGGAGATACAAGATGTCTGTTCCCAGGAGGCAGCAGCATCCTTTTTGGTACTCACCTTATCTCCCAGCTTGCCAGGTTTCCGTGCTGTGAGATTCGCAAGTAATGGGCCTGTGTTAGAAAGTAAAACAACCCCACCAAACCCGCTTTTGGGTTTGGCAGAGCCTGAGAGCTGTGCGGCGCTCAGATCTGGCTTTCTGTCGTCTGTTGGAAGTTTTCGCTTGTGCACAGCATTTACGGAGTGACATAAACTGTCAGGAACCCGGGAGCAGCTGGAGGAACGAGGGAGCTGCCACAATCAGCTCAGGGGCCCGTTTGTCACTTGAGCAGAGACCTCACTTCCCCTGTCTCTCATTACCATAGCAACTGGAAGGTGGCATGCCCGGGGGAGGGGTGCCTCTGTGGCTGAAGGGGAGTGAATTTGGGGGTCCCCTTTAAACTGTCAGCCCAGATAACTCAGGTACATGCACTCACCCCCACCAGCACAGACTCAGGCCTATGCCAGGTTATTCTGGATTCATTTATTAGTTCTTTCTTAACCTATGATTAATTAATGTCACCCTCTGCTGCTGGGTTTTGTTTTGAAGACCTATTAAACCATTTCCACATTTGCCCCAAGACAACTGACTTTCTAACCACAATCCGCTCCGGCGTTTATTTTTTGATAGCCCACGTTAAAATAAAAATCCACCGAGCATCCCACTAACAGCTTCGGAGACAAGTGACGGCGGAATTATTTTCTTCTGACCTACATTTTTGGTTCCCTAATGAGCGTTTACTAAGAAGCATGCGTGCATTTGCTGAGTAATCATGTATCTGGAGGGACTGGCTTGGCTATGAGTTCTAATTGTGATGCTGTCTGTCGGGGGTCCTCTGGCTTCGCCCTGCTTCCTTGTGCCCCGAGCTTCATTTTTCTGATTCCTTGTGTCGTTCCTTGTAGAACTTGTACCGGTCGGACCTGAACTTCATGCGAGGGGTGGCCTGTGTCGTTCCGGGCACGTTAGAGATTGAAGGGAGAAAGAGAGCGTCTGAACTCATCAGCGAGGTAACCAGGGACGCGGGATGGGGCGGGAGTGTCGAGAGTATTCCACAGTAGGGGTTACTCCGGAGCAATCAGCTTGTCTCTTACTGCTAAAGCCAGTTGGGTGTCACACTGTTAGCAGGGGCGACTTCCCGCGAAGCCTCTCTCCAGTCTCTCTTCTTACTCGCCTCTCCGTTCAGACCGGATGCCGTTTAAAACAACTTTGCAGACACTGAGTCAGTTCCTCTATTAACACATAAGAATCATTTACTGGCTCGCAAGACGCACTTTCCTAGGGTCCCTTTGAAGACTGGCTTGTGAGGCAATGAAAAGAGAGTGGGCTCTGGAGACAGAGATGGAGACTGAAATTCCAGGCCGGTGCTCATTTGCTGTGTGCCAGTCACCTGCCCTCTTCAGCCTCAACATCTTCGTCAGTCAAATGGGACTACTCAGACCTATCTCATTCAGTTTTTGTGAGGACCAGCACCAGTCTAAGCACAGTGCTTCTCTGGTGGCTGTATGTGAGATGGTTGCTATCAGCTTAGTGATGATTTCTTGGTAGAAGTACGGAAGCCTGGCATTCTAAGCTCTTTGAGCTCCCAAAGAATCTTGACTGCCCCTGAGAGGGCTCCGGGACTTCCATTCACGGTAGGTGGAAGGGCAGGAGGGCGTAATGGAAGACTCTGGAAGTGAGAGGTGGTCCGCGTCCAGCCCGGGTGCCTCAGATGAGCCTGGGCATTGATTAGAAGCTCTGAGCCAGCAGAACTGTCCTCATTGTGGGAGCTGAGATTTAACTTTGTGCTTTACTTTTCCAATAATATTTCTTCAGCGAGTGGTTTGTAAACCTCGTTGTGCATCAGAATTCCCTTTGGAACTTAAAAAAAAACTACGGAGGCCTGGGCCCGCTGATGACTTACTGAATCCCATCTCTTGCGGGGGGGGGGGTGCCGGCACGTGGATTATTTCACGCTGCACGGTCATTTCTGGTACACCCCCGGGGGTGAGGAGCCCAGGTCTCCGGCGAGGAACGGAAACTTGGGAGCAAAACACAGATTTCAGTAGTCAGGCTCACATTCGTGGCAAAGGACTAGCCCTCTCTTTCCTGTTGATAAGCATCTGATTTCATCTCTTCTATCCTTTCTGCTTCTTCATCCTGTTGAGTTCCGAGGTCCCAAGAGGAGGTGACAGACTGGATTCCGGGTGATAGACTAGCAGCCTTTGCAAAATGGGGTTTTATAACTAGTACTTAAAGACCGGTTCTTCCTCTAGTTTTGCATCTTACTGAGTCTTATTCCCTCCATGTGACTTCAGAGTAAATACCGTCAGCATCCCCAGTCATTCAAGTTCACGGCCGTGACAGACACTCCCAGCCTCACTCATGCAAAACTCAGCAGCCAGATTACAAATGAGGTAAAATCTCCGGATGGCTTTGGGATGGGCTTTTGAAAAAACTGCTTGATGGTGGAAAAAGTATGTGTGAATATTTGTGTGGTTGGGGGTGGCGGGAAGCACGGGTGTTTGCATGGAAGTTGGGAAAGAAAAGAACGTTGTTAGGCGGAGCCTAACTGGTTTCCAGAAGGGAGAAGAAAGGCCCAGTTGGAAATCTGGTTTCGTCTGCAAGCTCACCCCCCAAACGCAGTCACAGACCAGCAATGTCAGCATCTCCCGGGAGCCTGTGAGAAATGCCCAACCTCAGGCCCCACCCCAGACACACCGAATCGGCATGGTCATGGAGCAAGATCCCCAGGGTTTCCTCTACCCATTCAAGTTGGAGAAGTACTGGGCTGCTATGCGTTTGTCCTAGCTTGGCAAAGATTGGCTGCCCATTTCCACAAGGTCATCCTGTGTGATGGTCATGGGAATATCTGCGTCTGTCCACGGACTGTGATGCAGTGTGATGTTTGCCCCATTTCTTGACTCTCTGCCTCCCCTTCCTCTCACTTGAATCCTTCTAGCATGGGGGTTGGGAGGGGGCCCGGGGAAGGACTCTCATTCCAGAAAATCACCCTGGCAGCTCTCCCTCTTCTTAGGGGCTCTCTCACAAGTTTGACATAGCAAGTGAGCTTGGCAGAGAATGAAGTGTTGCATCATCATCATGAGTTTTTAAGATTATTCTTCTGATCCTCACTTTCAGAAGTCAGTTGGAAAAAAAAGTAGGGGAAAAAAATCTAACTCGTATTTTGAACCAGATTAAATCGTAAATGTAAATATAAAATACTGTTTTTCCTACCTAAAAAAAAAAAGCCAGTCGAGATCTGGCTATTTATAGATTAGTTCCCACTCTCACCCCAAGCTCGGGATAAGGAAGCCCAAAGAGCAGTGTGGCAACGTTGTCCATTTTAAAATTCCCACCGAACCCTCCTTGCCTGCTTTGTCATCTGGGTGCTGTGGGGCAAGGGTGCCTCCTGCAGTAGTCCCTGGCTCGGAGAGCTCAGCAACCAGAGAACTGTTTCTAATCACGAGAATGAATGTTTTCCGAGGGGCTGAGGCTGTGCCCGGCAGCACCGGTGTGAGTTCACCCACCGGCGGCTCCCGAGATACTGCTAAAGGCTGCAGACTGGGCTTGGGAACCTCCCTTCCACCAAGCCCAGCTTCTCCTAAATTCCCCAGGCCTTAATCTTGTCTTTACCCTGTGTCTTCAGTGAAAAAGTCTACCACGGGAAGAACCACAACAGTATTCCGAAATGTGTTTTTCTTTCTTCAGCCTATTATTGGGCAAAGTGTAAAGGAGGACAGAAATATCTTTTCCTTTCCCTGTCTTAGGTTCTCGGCTGGGGCTCCGTAACAAAAGACAGGCTAACAAGAGAGAAGCCTGCACATCTATTTAGTATAAGGAAATGGAGACCAGAAGGAATAAACCTGGGCGTTTTTATTTTAGGTTTGATGAAAAGTGTAAAGTCGAGGGAAAATGTGGTGGGACGGAAGGGGATGAGCTGGGGGAATCTTGGCCAGATTTGTTCATTTGAATTCCTCTTGGGTCCCTCAAGGTCAGAGATAAGGTTCCTCCTTCCTCCGGCAGAGGGAGGGCGCCTCCCGCAGGAGGGGTGTGACCTGCTGCAGGGGAGAAGTTTCTTCCAGCACCTGCTGCTTCCTGATTCCTTCAGCTTAAAACAGTCACTCTGCCTAGGTACCGTATTTTGGGGTAACATGTCCTGAACCCCGTCACAAGCAACTTGCAGTTTCTTACATATTCCTTTCCTAGCGCCCAATTTGATGCACGAAAGACTGTCTTCATGGAGGCAAACATCTTCCCCAGGCTGAAGGTGTATCTGTGACACAGCCAGTGGCCTTTGACAAACGTATTTCCCGATTGCAAAGGAGGGACTCCTCCCAGCCCTGCTGAAATGCACAGCACTTACCTTCTTGCTTTTTTTTCCCCCTGCCCAGCGCCTCTATAAAGCAGCAGGAGAGGATGCAAGACACCAGTACACAATGACCCTGGGCCTGCCGGAGTTTGTCCGAGCGAAAACAAACGCGGCCAATCTGAGTGACGTAAGCCTTTCCCCTCGCTGAAGTTGAGGCCTGCTCCCGGGCCACCTACATCCGTGTCTGTGATGGGCTCTCACAGGGACTCTGCTGGTGTTCATAGCAACTTAAAAAAAATGCATCTTGTAGATGCTCATGTTAAATATACCCTTCCACAGACACACTGATATATACATGTCAGGGCCCACGACCACGTGGGTGCTAATGAGCTCTTTCTTTGCAACATAGAAAGCTTTTTGCTTGTCAGGAATCGATTCTGGAATACCACACTACAAATGAGAGGGGTTGCCTTTGTTCATTGAGTCATGTAATTTTTTTTTTCCAAAGAAGATCTACATGTGTTCCTTCCATAGGCAAAATACAAGGAGTCTTGGCGGAATCTCCGTGCTCAAGGCTACAAGCTGACAGTAGACGCTCTCCCCTTCCAGGCGGCACGGGCCTCTGGAGATCTAGCCAGTGATGTGAGTCGAATGATATGACCTTCCATCTCGCCTAATTTCTGTTAACTTCATGTAAAACAATGTCTGCGGCTGATTTTCCTGAATTAAAGCAAATCTATCGCCATGTGAGACAGGGTGTCACCTGCAGAATCTATTAGTTATGAATGAGGTTCTTTGACGGAGATAGGGAAAGGAAGGCTCTCGTAATCAGAGGCTAAATGCAGGCAAAGGTCTCCAGCAGGAAAAAGATGATGACTTAGATCTAATTGCAGTGTCCAAGCAACGAGCCCCTGGAGTGTGTGAACTGCCTATTTTCGAACTCCACCCAGAGCTGGAAAGAGAACCGCAGTCGAAACTAGGGGAGGGCCGTAGCACGTCTCCCTCTTGGCTCTCAGCAGTTGCCGGCGTTGGCGGCAGGGTTTGCAGTCTGTGTCTCAGCCACTCTGTTGATAACGTCCATAGCTTTGGGACATGAAGGTGACTTTCTCTTTCCCGCAAACAAATCACAGAAAATGTCGACTTCAAATAAGTGGATCCCGTCTTTGGGGTTTGATGTTTTGCCAAGTGCTAGGGGATAAAGCACAAGTTTCTCTTAGACGAGTTTTGATAAATTCCTTCTGGCCATAGGACATGTAAGGGGAGCGGGGCCCTCCCTTTGGTTCTAAAGATCCGGTTTTAATCAGATGGGAGGAATGGAGCGGTGTTTTAATTATTCCTCCCCCAGGGAGGAAGCATGCTCTCAGGACAACCTTACTGTGGTTTTTCTTATAATCATCCCCTCCTGGTGTAAGAACAGGTGATTTTTGTAGTGTCGGCAAGGAAAATGCACAGGTGGAATAAAGCGGGCCAAATGTCGGCGCCTGACCACCTGGTCCTCCCCTCCAGTTTCTCTACAGACATGACTTCGTGAAGGAGCGGGGGAGGCTGATCGGGGCCCGGAGTGTGAGCGATGACCCCCGGCTCCGGCACTGCCAGCAGATGGGCCATGTGCAGAGCGAGCTTCAGTACAGGAGGGAGGCGGCGGGTGGCCGAGGCCAGTGCCACCTGCCCTTGGACATGGTGCCCCTGGTCCACGCCAGGAAGGCCCAGGCCCTGGCCAGTGACCATGACTACAGGACACGGTGCCACGCATTCACGGCATTGCCTGAGGACCTGAAGATGGCCTGGGCCAAGCGGGCTCACGCTCTGCAGAGTGAGGTAGGGGGCACCCCTGGATCGCAGCCCATCAGCCCCTGACCCTTCTCCTCCCACCAGGCTTGGGTGGAAATCTCTGCTTCTTTCCCAGCCTTTCAGATCCTCGTCCAGATCTAACAACAATGACTCATTTGGTCTGCGTCTTGTAGGCTGGAATTATTCAGTCAATCATTCAACAAATATTTACTGAGCACCTACTACATACCAGGCACCACTCGAGGTCCTGGGGATACCGTTATCAACAAAAGAGTCAAAAAACCCCTGGAGTCATGGAGTGTCCCTCCTATGGGAGGGAGATGAAGTATGAGTGAGGGACAGAGAAGGTCAGATGGCGAGACGCTATGGGGACAAGCAGAGCAGGGAGCCACGTGCAGGGTGAGCACATTTGTGTACCTGCATGTGTACAGCCTAACGTGGGGTCAGTGCTCTGTCCAGGCCACGCCCTACCACGTACGGGTGCTGGTTCGATCTGCTCTTAGTCCCACACTCCCCTCCGTGGTCTCAGGCAGGCACTGCAGGGTGTCCTGCAAAGCACAGGCAGGGACAGTCAATGGGACAGCCCCGGCCCCTCCCTTTATGGCCTCAAGAGACTCCTAAAGCTCTCCCGCCTCCAGTTTCTCCATCAGAAATAACAACAGCAGCAATAACAATACCTGGGAAACACGGAATGCTTATCCTGGGCCAGGCGTTGGCTTAAATATTTCGCATGAACGATCTCATGTAGTATCTGAGGAGGTAGTACTGCCATTTTTATAGATGTGGTCATTAACCTATAATCTTCAGTGACTTGCTGAGGGTCATAAGCTGGCAGGGAAATGACTTGCTCAAGACCATACAGATAGTAAGAGGCAAAGCAGGGGCTCTGGGCTCCTGACTCGGGGTTCGGTGCTCTCTGGCTCCTCCAGGTGGCTGGATTAGGAACCCAGGAGCTGTGGCTCCTGTGTGTTCTCTTAAGGACCACCTATGGGGCATCCCCAGTGGACAGCATTTGGTGGCTCCTCTGAACATCTGAACAAGCATTTGAACCCCAAAGTTCTTCATTAGGTGGGAATAGGAGCCCATCCTTTGAGGACAGAATGAGATAATGAATCTAAAGCAAACCACATCCCATGTAGGGTAGTGGTTATAATGGTTATTATTAATATGACAAATATACCCCTTCCCCTGGCCACCTCCTGGGTGCAGTTGATCATGTCATTCCTGTTGGAACTCAGGGGCTGAAAGCTACAGCTCGTTGCACCTGCCACCCTGTGCTCCAGAATCGGGGTGCTGGGAGACCCCATGTGTGAATCTGAATGTGACTTCTAGGTCTTAAGATACACAAGGGCCAATAGCAAAGCTGCCATTTGGAAAAGCCAGATTCAACCAGGCAGCCTGAGAAGGTCTCTATTATCTTAGAATCCTTCTTGGAACCCATCTTTGAGTAGCCCGTTCTCCCCAGCCCTCCTCCCCCCTCCCCATCTTTCATGGTGAAGTCTGGGGCTGGCGTGTTGTTTTTAGGGTCTGCGTGAATAGTCAAAGCTGGGCTGGGAGCTGCAATATCAATAGACAATCCATTTATAAGAGACTCTGAGGCGCAGTCAGATCTTTGGGGAACCAGCATCTTGCCTTCTGACTTACCTGCGATCGTACTGTTCAGCTCAACAAAAGGCAAGTTGAAAGAGCGCCCCCCACTTCATCTCACTTATGAAAGGAGCAAGGCCTGGCTGTGAAGAGGCCCTGTAGGATTATTCTCTCTAACTTAGAAATTTATCCAATTTTCTCTGTTCTTTATCAGAGTGGAAAGCAAAAGCTTTGCCGGTGTAGACTGAAAGATCGCGGTATAAAAAGCCATCTCACTGACATGGGGTTTTGAAACGTGCTCCTGAACCTGAGTGATGTCTTCCTGCACCAGTTGGAAAGCAGAGTTGAATTTGCACAGGGGCATTAACCAGCAGACAGTAGATCAGAAATGGACCCTCTTTGAGGCCAGCTGTGAGGAGTACTGTGATTCCTGAAATGAAAGAAAACTAAAAAGGCCGACAGGCTGATTTCAGGAGTGGTATTTTGCGTTACAGCAAAGCTTATATCTAAATTAGAGAAATGCTATCAACTTCGTTTAGATCCAAATTTTAGATTTCCTTAGAGAGGCTTTTTCCACCTTTAAAAATGCCTCATTTCCATAAGGAGAGGAAGAAAAGCTTTCAAGCGCCTGTCTGTTCACAGGTAATGGGGGTGCAGGTCAAGGAATAGTAATGAGTGAACATGTTGGGTGATTCCTGATCAGACCCATTGTCTTAAAGCACCATGTACTGTTTTTTCCCGGCAGTTGATGCTGGAGAGAGGTCTAACCTTCTGACTCCTTCAAATGAAGAAAATGGATAAAGCTTAAACCCATTTATGCAATATAATCAAATCATGAGTAGCAGTAGGTGGTGGGGGTAAACCGAGGCACAGAAAGATTAAAATGGCTCTCGCGCCGTTGGCCAGTGGCATCCAGGTTTGCTCCAGTTTTGAGAGTCCGGCTATAATTGTCTGCCCCTTCGCCCACCACCGCAAGAAAAAAACAAATCTAACATACAGAGTGGCTTTTACCCCTCAGGACTCTCAGGTGTTTTCATGGGAACAGAGGGGTTGTCATGACCTCCAGGTATCACAGAGAGAAACTGAGTCACATTTCGGTACAGTGATTTGCTCCGAGTCACAGCGGGTTTGATCCAGAGCTCAAAGCCCTTTTATCAGCTGAAAGTGTGGAGAACATTTCTGTTTAGGCGGGCGGTCAGTGGCCTCGCTGCCAGACTGAAACAAAATAACCGGGGCTGATGTGTGGGCTGGGGCGTATATATACTCGGAGCCTCCTTAAGTGATCACTCCCACAGGTCACCACCTTCCGCTTTGGATCCGGCCACTTCACAGGCAGGGCTGTCTCATATCTTATGCGCAATTCATTATTTAATTCTGGGTGGGGCAGAAACTCCGTTTGACATAATGACATGTAGAAGGCACCCCACGTGCCGGTGTTGAAAAATTGTGATGAAGCATGGTTACAGGATGCCCCAGCAGTCTTCGACACTCTCCTGAGAAAAGCCAATGGTTTTCTTCCCACAGTTTCGCTACAAGTCAGACCTGATGGGCATGAAGGGGACCGGATGGCTGGCGCTGCACTCCCCGCAGATGGAGAGCGCAAAGAAGGCCGGGGAACTCATCAGTGAGGTACCACTAACCTGACTCTACCAGAAACGCAACCTGGCATGAATGTCCTCCTGACGAGGGGACCTGTGGATGCACTGGAGACCCCGAGAGGCCCCCACGGCCGCTGGACTCCAGATATTTTTCTGGGACCATTTGCAACCAAATCCCCAAGACAGAATAAGATTTCCCTTCAAATGAATTCACTTGCTGGGAGTCATAGGCATGTTCCCACCAGGCAGTGAAAGTGGCATGAGGCATTAGAAGAGTCTCAACAGATGCGTTACGTACCGGTATGGTCTGAACTGGCCCATTGTTTTCACGGGGGGCGAGGCGAGGATTTGCCTCCCACCTCCTGAGTTGCTCGGAGAGTCCAGTGCCCAGGGGTTATCTGACTTCAGGAGGTGGTGTATGTTGCACAGGCACAGTTACATGAACTGAACTCCCCACCCTGTTGATGACCTACAGGTTCTTGCCCTGGGATCTCCTTGAGGGTGGCGCTGCCTTCTTCAGTTCCTTAAAAACAGAACCTACTTGGATAGGGTCTGAGCAAGGCCACCTGGATGCCGGATCCTTCCCTCTACTGAATTCCTCTGTTGGGATGAGCTGTGGTATTTTGCAGCCTCTCTTTGCAAGAGAGTAAATACCTGTAAAATGTTCCTCATCACAGAGGCAGCTGGAATCTCTTCCGTAGGCTACCGAGGTGCCCACCAAGAAGAGAGACGTGTCTTCCAGTCATGTCGTTGGTACCTTTGGTCCTGAGTAGGTGGGGTCAAGCTGCATCCAGAAAAGTGCCTTGACTGTTTCACGAGAATCTTGGTGTTTCTCTTACAGACCAAATACCGTAAAAAACCAGACACTATCAAGTTCACCACGGTGGTTGACTCCCCGGACCTGGTTCATGCCAAGAACAGCTACGTGCATTGCAACGAGGTGGGTGTTTCCCCCACTCATCGCAGGCTCAGGAGTGGGCTGTGCTGTACAGTGGGCAGTGCTGAAGAACACGGGCTCCGGATGGGTGTGAGTGCAGACTTCTGTCCCTCACCTGGCTGACCTTGGACCAGTCACTTAATCTCGTCTAACTCCCATTCCCTTATTTGAAAGGAGTGTGACGATAGCATTTCCTAGGACTGGGCAAACTAAATGAGGATTAAACAAACAAAAGTACTTGAAGCTTTTAGCAAGTATCTGGAACATAGTAAGTCCTTAATAAATGTCCCTTTCTATGGTTTGATACATAATCCTAACTATAATAATGCTAAGTATTACTGATGCTCCCTTACCAAACAGGGCAGATACATCTTAATTTTTGATAGATGACAATGAAATTAAAAGCTGAATATAAACCATTAGGGAAAAAAAAAGAGAACAGCTTTACCAAAAGCTTCTTTCTGCTTTTACTCTCTGTATGATTTAGCCCCATTTCTCCTCTCCTGTATTTATTGGAAAGAATAGGAAATGAAATATTTTTTTTCTTTGAAATTGTCCAGGGATTGGACTTTGCCCACACACACTGACAGAGCTGCCCCATCCTCACGCAGAGTCCAAATGTTGTACTGACCAGTTCATGTTTGCAAACCCCAAATTGAATGTGGGACAGGGTCGGGATATTAAATATCATAGTTCCCCTCTACAGATAGACAAGACTTAGCCACTCCCTACAATTGTTTGCAGTTCTTAGACCACTGCCCTAAAAGTAGCAACTAAGATTAAGCTTGAGTTTTAAAATTGTGTCTTCTTGGGACCCAGGGTGGACTATGAAAACTTCAAATTTCTGTACATATGCTAAGGCGTTTAAAGGTTTTTAGCTATGGGGTCTTTTTACTATGTTTATTAATATCAAATAACAAAGGCATTGAAGCATCTTGTTACTAGTAAAATGCTTGAACAATGCCCAGTTGCAAAGATTCTCCGAAATATCCACTCACTTTCACCATTTGTAAAACACACAGGAATAGCCAGCCAGGGTGACGCGGCCCATTTGGAGCAGATCTTGATGAATATTTTAAGCAGGGGTCATTTAAACCACCTCCCTCACCTGACCCCGGTTGCATGTGTCCCTCCCTCCCTCTGGGTTCTGGAGGGGTGCTCTCCACGTGCAGGGGTGGCTTCTGTGCCCTTGGTGGGCACGGGGGTGGGAGGGGTGGGCAAGGGGATCAGCCTGCTCTACACCTGCGGCCGCAGCACGGGCAGTTCTCCGGTTACCATGAGCCTTCTTCCCTGCAGCGGCTGTACAGGTCTGGGGATGCCGAATCCCTGCACAGATACACCCTGGTCCCTGACCACCCCGATTTCACCAGAGCCCGCCTCAACGCGCTGCATCTGAGCGATGTAAGTGAACTGGTGGTTCATGTGGGGTGTGCCCGTTTCTGTGAAATTATCTGTGCCCAAGTTGGATTTTATTTGCTTAAAAAAAAAAAGTTCCTAGAAAGGAAGACTGGGAACCAAAAGAATCCTGGACTGGGAGTGGGACAAATGGCATGTGTGATTTTGAGTTGATGTCCTTGCTGGGCCTCAGTTTCCTCAGCTGTAAAATGGGGATGGAGCTATGCCAGCTGACACCTGTGGTTCCTTCCAGCTCTCAAATCCTGATGCTGGGCGTGGCTCCAAAGACCCCGGTCCTGTGCTGGGTTACGGTCAGAGGAGTGGTGCCCTGGCTCTGGCAGGTGTAGACGGCTGCTCTGTCCAGTCCCTGGACACCTCTCCTTAGCCATTCAGAGCAGTGTAAGTTTGGAGACAGAGTGGCGCTTTCTCACCCTGCAGTTTAGAAAGATGCTGCAATTGTAGTCCATTGGGTCCAAACACAATCCGCTCCTTTGTGCCTGAGGCTGTGGCCCCCCACATGTCTGTTTCCCTTGGATGTGTGCCCTTTGCGTGCATAACCAAGCTGCTGTTTCCTAAACCCAGGCTTGTTGTTAGCAGGGGTTGGAGGCCCCTGGTTGTAATAGAATAGGCGGCCGCTCTGCCGGCAGCGCTGTGATCCTGGGATAACAGGTATCGAGGCGGCGGAATCAAAAGATGCTGTCAGATCAGAATAACACAGGCAGAGTGTGTCGGCCTGGGGCAGCGCGGGGCCTCCCAGAGTCTGGCCATTCTTCCCTCCCTGGCCTGGCCATTGTGTCCTGGGGCTCCGTGCAGATCAACAGCTGCTGCCGTTCACCCCAGAGGTGGCTGCCTCGCAGGGGCTGGCGAGAGGCGCCTTCTAGTTAGCGTGTGTATTAGTTTGTTGCGTTTGTAAAGCCCTGTGGGATCCCACGCGGTGAATGCGACGGTGCTTTGTAAATATGAGTTATTATGACCATTTGATGCTTTTGAGGGATGCACGAGGGATAATTTTAGAACGGCAGCTCTGGTGGGCTGACCTCCATCTGGGGAAGCGGGACCTCCCCCTCGACAGAGCTTGGACAAAAAAATCCATCTCATTAATGCTTCAAGGACAGGGGAAGGCGCAGCCTCCATTTGAGGAACTATTGGAGGCCCCATCGCCCTGGAAACTGGGATAAAACTGCCAGTCTATGTGAGACGCAGCTTAAGGAGGACAGCCACCCCAGGCTGGTGGCAGAAGCATCTTTCCTCTCACATGGGATGCCAGTCTGTAGAGTCCCGGAGCTGAAATTAGCCGCCAGGGCACGCGGGTATGGAGAACTCATGAACCTCTTTTGAAAGAGCACTTCTTCGGGGGCGTGTGGAATACGCACAATTGGATCAAGTGCTCTGTGAGGAAGATGTGGAGGGAAAGTGACCTTCCTGGGCAAAGAAAGCCATTGAGATGTGTAAGGCAGCCGAAATAACTAAAAATCAAATGACTCTAATGTGTGAGGATGAGGGCAAAACTGTGCCCACTGTGATAAAGAAGAGGAACGCCCAGGGTTCCAAATCAAAGTGCCTGCGGAATCTAAAGACTCCCAGTGGCAAGGCAGAAACCTCAACAGAATGGGAAAAACTCAGGCAGGAAGCTGTGACAACCAAGCAAACAGTACACAGGAGCGAGCGCCTCGGGGAGAACCCCAGTTTGGGCCATGCCCTCCAGCTGACCCTCAGTCCCAGAGACTCGGAAGCTGGGGTGCGTCAAACACCAAAGTGGGGTGACATTGGTGTTTGATGCTGTGGAAAGACTGGTGTCATTTCCTAGCCCAGATCTGGTGCGAAGACTCTTATTAGGGAGGCACTGACAGTCCCCTTTCCAGGGAATGATCCGGACGTTGCTAGTCTGCTGTCTGCGGGACACCGAAGCAGGCAGCAGAATGCTCCAGGGCTGGGTGGTCTGTCATCTGAATGCTCCTCCCCTTCTACGTGCCTCTCAGTCATGCCTGCTGAACTCAGCACTGACCCAGGAGATCTCATCCTTTGGGCCCTGTCTGTGGTTCATCAGTTAGATGATCACCCCAGCGAGGACCGACTCTGTATTTCTAGGCCCTTGAACCTAGGAGGTACTTGGCTCGTGTTGGGTGTTGGAGTTGGAGGCAGAGACGAAGGTGAAGGTGACGGCAGTCAGCAGGACCTCACTCATCGTTTGATGAGATCCGCTGTGCTTGGCTCGAGCCTTCCGTGATCCCCTCTAGTCTGGGCCCAGTTGTAGGGTGGCGTGACACTTGGCTTTTTTTCTCCCACTCCTCTTTGGCTTAATCCCCCCAAATCCCTGCAGAACAGAGCTTTGGCCTTAACCTCTGTTTCCAAGTGACAGAAGTAAGGTTCTAAGGGTCCCCTGACTTGCCCTGGCTCTCAGAATGAGTGAGCGCCCGACATGGCCTGGGGCTGTCACTTTGTCACCTGCTGGTGATGCGCCTTGCATGCTGTCTCCCTTCTCTGTGGCGGGATAGAGGACAGCCTTCAGTTGGGATCTCCAGGTGATGCCTTTCATGGAGCCTTTCCCTTATCTTGAAAAAAAACATGAGCTGCATGAAGGCACGGGAGATTTTGATGCCTCCATTGGTGATGTGGGTCTACCTGAGGACTAAGAGGATGTGATTACAGACTCCCGGAGGGTATGTGAGAACAACTTGAAAAGGTGAAAAATGAAAGAGAAAGATGTGAAATGCATGGGTCAGGAACTCAGTCAGGTTCCTGACAATCAATTTAATTCAGGTGAAGGCTCTCCCCTCAGTGCAGGCACCAGGGGTGCATATGGGATGCAGCGTGCTTCACAGGGATGCTGTGAGGTGGCATCAGAGGTAGACAAGGGGCCCCAGGAAGCCAGTGGAGCCGATGAACACATGGGTGCCGGGACCCAAGGCATGGCACTTTCAGCGTGTGGGAAGAAACAGGGTTCTTGAACTTTGAGCTCTGGCATCTAGAAGCTGCAACCTGGAGGCGCTGAAAGTGAAAGCAAAGACAGGAAGGAGTGAGGCAGGTGACCTCGGACGTAGCAAATGAGCCAGACCCATAGACCCCCACGGCCCACAGGAGCAGGGCCTGATGCTCAGGCTGGGGGCTTAGAGCTGAAGCCCCTGGTGGCCAGCCCCACCAGTCCCAGAGCTGCGGAGGTCCTCAGGATGGACGTGGGGCCAGGGACTCTGCCATCCGGGAGCCAGCAAGGCAGAGGTTGTGTGTTTAGGAGCTACTCCCGCTGAGACCCAGCAGCACATCAGACACGGAGCTACTCACTGCTTGCTCACTCATTTCTTTTTTTCCTCAACTAGAAAGTCTACCGAAACTCTTGGGAACAGACCCGGGCTGGCGGCTATGACTTCAGGCTGGACGCCATCCCATTCCAGACGGCCCGGGCGTCCAGGGAAATTGCCAGTGATGTAAGACCCCGCCTTCACTCCCTGCTCTGTCACTGATAGGTTTTACTCCAGTTTGCCCAGTTCTGTTGAAAGGCAAAGCGCTAAGAACCAAAACTGAACCGGTATTTCAAATGAAAGAAAAAATGGACCTTATTTTCTAGCATCGTAGCCAGAAATTTAGAATTGGGGAGGGTTGTTTTCCCATGTCCTCTCTTTTAAGAAGGGCACTCTTAAAAGTTGATGCATGTGGATGGTAGCGGTACCTAGAAGTCAACTAACACGTCCTTGCCTTCAATAAGTGGACCTTTTTTCTTAGCTGAAGGGCACTGTGGTGGGCTAGAAAGAGATTGGGCCCCCCCCCAGGTTGACTTGAGTTCAAATCCGGGCTCAGTCACCAAGGAATTGGCTCTGTGGTCTTGGGCAAGTTGCTTAAACTCTCTGAACTCAAATTTCTACATCTGAAATAGAGAATCTCATACTTGTCTCCTAGAATTCTTATAGGGAAGAAAATAAAGGGGTTTACAGTGTCATGCACGTAGCAGGTGTTCAAAACATTAACTGCTACTGTTGAAGGGGAAGACATCTTCACTAGATTTGTGATCATTCATGAACGGCTTGTTACTGGGATAAGTACAGAAATCAAGAGCAAGAGTTTAGAAACATTTTTTAGCAGTTAGACATTATGACATCCTGACGTGTGACCCGTAGACTCATCTGGTTGAGCAGAGGGGAAGCCAGCTTGGGTGTCATCAAATGCACCTGCTACTGCTTACCTACCGATCACAGGCTGTAGGACCACACGTTGGACTTTGAGGGATTGGAAATTTAAAAAAGCAAAATAAAGTGAATCCTGCTCTTCGCTGTGGATGGTTTGAGGAGCACTGGACTGGGTCTCTGAAAGCTGGAAAGAATCAAAGGCTGGGTGCCTGCTGACAGAAAGGGCGCAGTCCTCCTGCTGCTGGATTAGCAGCTGTTAGAGCAGCAATGATACCAGTGGCCGCCACGCAGGACATCTCACTGAATCCTCTCAGTGTCCCATGGGGTGGATGATCATGCTTCTATGTTATCAGGTGGGGAAACCAAAGGCTCAGAGAGGCTCGGTAGCTGACCCAAGGCCACACAGCTGGGAGGCCACAGAGGGAGACAGAGCTCCCAGGTCGACTTGAATCCAAAGCTGTGCCCTTAACCCACTGTTGAACTTCCTGCTGAGAATCCCGGGGGCTGGCCCTGGAGGGGAGGTGGGCACCCGTGACTCAGCTCTGCTCCTCTGACCTGCAGTTCCGGTACAGAGAGGCCTTCCTGCGGGACCGGGGCCTGCAGGTTGGGTACCGCAGCGTCAACGACGACCCAAGGATGAGGCATTTCCTCAGCGTCGGCAAACTCCAGAGCGACAACGAGTACAAGAAGGACTTCGCCAGGACCCGGTCCCAGTTCCACAGCCGCCCGGACCAGCCCGGCTTCCTCCAGGCCAAGAGGAGCCAGGAGCTGGCCAGCGACGTGCACTACAGGCAGCCCCTGCCCCAGCCCTCCTGCGACCCGGAGCAGCTGGGCCTGAAGCACGCACAGAAGGCCCACCAGCTGCAGAGTGATGTGAGCAGCCCTCACCCGCTTGGCCGAGGCCCTGCCTCTTCATGAGAGATGGCCGTAACCCCACATCCCACGTTACCCCCAGGGAGGAGCTGGGCTGAGCTAGAACCAGGAGACCTAACACGAAAGCACAGGCAGAAATGACAAGCATTGCAATGTGTCGGGTCCCTACTGTGGGCCAGGCCCTGTGCCACATGCTCTTCGAGCATTGTGCTGGGTAGCGCCCCCAGCCACCCCGTTACTGCCCCAGTTTACAGATGAGGAACCTGAGGCTTAGAGAGGTTAAGTAACTTACTCAAGATCACACAGCAAATAAGTGGCAGAGCTGGGATCGGAGCCCCATTTGGTTTGATGTGAGAGCCCAGTTCTTGGTCGCTGTGCCGGTCTGTTTTCAAGGGATCTTAGTGGTCGCCCAGCCCAGCCCAGCCCGTGCACTTTCTCTGGGAGGCAACTGAAGCCGAGAGTAGAGAAATGACTTCCCTAAGGCCACAGAGCAAGTTAAGGTGGGGCCTCGGCCTTGAACCAGGTCTCCCATCCACCACCCCCATTGCAGCTCCCATCACTTGAAGGGGAAGATGCAGGGGACTGCGTCCTGCTGGCTCAGCGAACAGCACATGGGGTCCTCAGCGCCAGCTTCTGCTTAAGACGAGTTTACTCCCTTGTCCCAGCCTCACTGACAACGTAGTTCCCCAGGGCGGCCTTTTTAAGCCTCTCCACTCTGTGCCCAGACCACCCTGAGCCCTGCTGACCTACTCCTCTTGTTTCCCCCCGTTCCCCCAAGGTCAAGTACAAATCTGACTTGAACCTGACCAGAGGTATTGGCTGGACACCTCCTGGCTCGTACAGAGTGGAGATGGCACGGCGGGCTGCAGAACTGGCCAACGCCAGGCGCCTGGCTCTCCGGGGGGCTGACGTGAGTAGCGGGCTGCAAACCCACCCCGGCTTGCAGGGCCAGGGCGGGAAAGGCGAACTCACAGTTTCTTTTCAAACTTTATTTTTGGCCGAAGGTCAGCTGGCTCTAAAGAAGTGTGAAATGCAGCTCAGGCAAGGCGCCTAATTTCATGGGTCTGAGCTGACCAGGCAGATGACACCCGGGTTAAACTTCCCGCAGGGTTTTCTCTGAAGTCACAGCCATTAGTTCTTCGGAGACAGACGTGCCGGGGCTGCATCAGTCCGGGCCGAGGCAGCCCAGGCTGCGCCGACTGCTTGCTCGTTACATTCGCGGGAAGGGTCAGGGACTTGCTGGCTACAACAGTCTGGGTTTTGAACCCTCCTTTGTTCAGAAGAAAGAAGCCACGTCTAAATGAGAGATTGGCTTTGCTTCTTTCTCCTCCTTGCCTCGAGGATCCTTTTTCTTGGGGAGGGTGGAGGAGGGGAAAAGGAAGGGGAGGGCGAGCGTGTTAGACAGCTCGTCCTGCAGGAGCAGGGCGGGTGCTTCATCCTCACTCAGGAAGGTTGTGTGTGATTTCTGCAGCGGGAGCCGGAGGCTGTGGAGACTGGATATAATCAGAGAGGGGATGTGAACCCAGATGCCACTGAGATTCTGCACGTCAAAAGAAGGAGGGCCCTGCCGTTGTGAGTGGGCAGCATCTGCCCGGGATTCTTGGGGCAGAAGCTGGAGAGGAAATTTGCACGCCAGAGACTTGGCTTCAGTTGGGGCCAACTGTGAAAACAGCACACCGGCCCTTCCCCTGATCCTCCTTTATTAAAATAACAATTCCCTGAAAGTGAGTGGAGAATGTTGTACTTCGGTCCTCTGTCGAATACTGGAAGTGGGTGCTGGCTCTGTGGCACGCCTTGAGTGTCGGGAATGAGGAATAAAGTGGTAAAGGTGACGGCCACCGACACTGAGGCATCTGAAAGCGTGCATTTGCAAGTGTCCCAGGGGAAGGCAGTCTGTGAACACTGATTTTCTAGAAGGTACAGTTGTTGGAAGGGAAGCAAACAGCATGTATCTCAGGTTGATTCTCTCATTTCTGGGTTTCCCCAGGAGGGAGCCTGAGGAACTGGTGAACATGCTGGTCCAGGCTGGGCAGCAGTGGTCTCTGCTTAAGAGCATGGACCCTTGGAGGCCCCAAGGGGTGTCCACTGCTGCCCACGAGGCCTTGCCTTGTCTGGGTGCCAAGGAGGATGGGCTCTGGGCTTCGGAAGACACCTTAGACGCCAGCCTCCTTTTCCATGGTGGCTTTGATCCAATTCAGGAATTTGGTCACCTGGGTGTAGATGCCTGGCTTCTTCCCACACTCCAGGCCCCAGCTCACTATCCCGTAGACGTAGTAGGTGCCACCCTTCTCACAGGTCAGAGGACCCCCAGAGTCACCCTGCGGGACAAAGACACGTGAGTCAGCTTTGTGAATCACAGTCCATCTGGAGACACCCCCCACCTTCCGTGAGGGACGCCAGGGGATGATGGGATGAGATCAGTGGCCCTGGTGGAAAGTGGCAAGAAGGCTCTTCCTCTGCCTCAGATGGCACAGCGCTCTGAGCGAGAGAAGCGAAGACCAACTCACATCCTGAGTCAGGGAGGGCTTGGCAGAGAAGCCACAGGGCTGGGGCGCTGTGTGGGGGTCACACCTCTCCTTCCTGGCCTGTCATGACTCTTAGTCACAAGATGTTACTACCGTGTGTTCTCGGGGGCCCTCGACTTCTCATTCTGGCAGGGACCTGAGGGGCGGCACCTGCTGGGATAGAGCCCCTCCGGGACCCACAGGGCACACATGGGGCAGCGAGGCTGGGGCTCACAGGCAGCATGGCCTTGATGTTCAGCATGGCCTATGGAGTTAAGTCTGCTGGGCTCCAAACCAGGCTTGCCGCCTGCTGGCCAGCTGGGCCTCGGTGTCTCACGCTGTAAACCTCAACAGAACGCCCTCCCCACCCCGAGGTTTCTTGTGCGGACTAATGTTTGTAAAAGTACAGAGAGCAGCGTCTGGTTCATATTAAGCCCTCAGGTAAAGGGGTCAGGATGAACCGGATGCTACGTGTCACACACGCTGCTGCCTGCACACTACGACTGGTAGGATGTTTAGTGAACTGTCTGTCTCTCTCAGTCTTAGCCACAACCTCATGATCTCATGGGTACACTATTGCCATTTTATAGACTAGACACCCGGGATTGGAGAATTACTCTGATGCAGTGGATTGAATATTTGTGCCCCTTCTCTGCCCCAGATTCCTGTGCTGAAACCTAATACTCAGCGTGATGCTGTTGGGAGGTGGGGCTTTGGGGAGGTTATTAGGTCATGGGGGTGCAGCCGTCACACGTCCCTTACAGAAGGGACCCTAGAGATCTAGCTCTCTGTCCACCGTGTGAGGACACAACGAGAAGCCAGCAGTCTGCAGCCTGGAAGACGGTCCTCACCAGACCCCAGCCAGGCCGACACCCCGACCTCAGGCTTCCAGCCTCCAGAACTGCGAGAAGTAAATGTCTGTTGTGTAAGCCGCCCAGTCTATGGTAATTTGTTAGAGAAGCTTGAGCTGACTAAGGCATAGGGTAAAGGTCACAAAGTAAAGGACAGAACCAGGTTTCAAACCCATGACTGTCTATTTCCAAATCCTGCAAGGAAAGCCCTCAAAATATCTAGGGAATTGAACAATCTTTTTCTAACTCATCTTCTAGGGACTCAGGGCAAAGCACACCCACCTGCCCATGCCCCTCCTTTGAGTAAGTGGATATCTGTGGCCCCTTGGAAAGGGGCGGAGGGTCACAGTGGAACCTGGAGAGAGCCACTGTGATTTTCCATCCCAGAGTGGGCTCACGGCCAGCAGATCATTGTCGGGTCCCTTTGTTGGGAGGAGCTCAGATTTGAATGTGTCCCTGCTGGTGTCTCAAAGTCCTAGATGGAGGGGATGTCAGGCAGGCTCTGGGTTGGCAGTGGCCACAGAGGAGCTACTCAGCCAATTAATTTATTAGGGCTAAATCCGCCCCCCACACACTTTTACACACACACACACACACATCCTAGTGATTAGTCAGTACTTTTGTGAACTCTCTGGCCTCTCATCTTTATCCTTCCCGCCACTGGTCTTTGGGACAGTTCCCCGCTTATTGGGATTTGCAGACACGCTGCCCAGCACTGAGTCCAGAAGGAGCATCGTCACATTTAAACACAGTGGAGCGAATTCCTGCTCTGCCTCCTGACCACCCAGGTGCTAGAGGCCAAGATAATTTCTCTAGCATCTGTCCAATGGTGATGACGACATCCCCTCCACCAGGCTTAGAATTAAATTAGACAATCCAGGCAAAGTGACCGCTAGTGTTATCATGCCGAGTTGTCCTGGATTCATGTAGATTCAGATTTGCCACCTGTGCCTCGGTTTTGTGGCAGCTGGGCCACTGAACCCACCTCCAAGCCCAGGGCTCTAAGGGCCCCTTGTGCCCAGCATCAGGTCCCACCAGTCTCCCCTTCTCCAAGTGCCATTCAGCATCTCTGACCTGGCAGGAGTCTCGCCCAGGCTTCTGAAGGTTTCCTGCACAAATCATATTGTCATCGATCATGTGGTCATACAGTTGGCGGGAGTTGCAGACAGTGTTGCTGATCAGCTTGACTTTGGCATCCAGGAGCTGGCGGGACCCTTCTCCTAGGGGACAGAGTAAAGAGGTTGCCCCTGTAGGGACCAGGGTTGAACCTGCCCCACCAGAAGCCAGCAGGGGTCGGAAGAGGACCTCCAGCCCTGAGCTGGGGAAGGAAGGGTTTTTCCAGGAGACGGGCAGAGAAGCCTCCTCTTTCAGGGTTGGGGCTCTTTGCTTTCAGCTGACACCATGGCCCTGCAGAACTTCAATACTGTGCTAATCACCGTGGAGCAGAATCATTTATTCCCTCCTCTGTCTCCACAACTAGACCATGAAGTTGGGAGAGCAGGGATGATGTCTCAAACCTATTTCTAATTTCCCGTGCTGGGCAGAAGGCTGGCACGGAGTGGATCCTTAATGATGCTTGAAGTGCCCTGTGACCGTCTAGATTACCTGCTTCCCAGAGCAGACATTCCTTCCCCCAAAGAACCTCTGTTCTGCTCAATCTGCTCTTGTCAGCATGATGATGTTGAAAGGTTTAGAGAGACTACAATGCTACAATGAAGTTTGCTACAAAAAGGATTTTCTGGTTAACCCTAAGTCTGATTATTTACCAGGTATCTTCTTTCCCGAAAGCCTTCTGATAAATTTGAATATTACATTTCACATCTTCCTGAATACAGGTCTATTTAAACTAATTCTTGCTTTTCATGATTAAGAACAAGATTTTGGGGAAGAGGAATCTATTTTGAGTCTTTGAAAAAGACTTAAAATATACTTCTAAATTTCACTTGTTAGAGGATGTAGTCTTGTCAGTACTATGATGAAAGTAGCCCTTTGGTTCCTTTTTTTAAATAAGACCAAACCCTAGAGGCAAGTTAATAACTTGGGCTAACAATATTTTATAGAATGCTACTATGTAGAGTCTTGACCAAAGCACCACGGGAGGGACAGAGATGAATGAAACCTGACCCCTGCCCTCCAGGGGCTGACTTAATGCCTCTGGAGAATTCTATCCTCTCTTATTATCATGATTCCAAACCTAGGAGGTTATTGGGAAGCTAAAACTCAGCTGTCCAAGTGACAAAGCCAAGAATCTAAAACAAGTCTGACTCCAAAATCTATCTTCTTTCTAACTTATCCCCTTTCCAGTCTACCTAGGGGAGGAGAGCGCTCTCCATGGATATAGCATCAATTCTTGGCGAAAGTCAAGGGTCTAAGGGTAGGAGCGAAGGACACACACGGACATCAGGGAAGACTCCTTGGATTGATGAGATTAAACCAGAGCTTGAAAGCTGGGCCATCTCTCGTGACAATACATTTTGAATATAATCCTGATCTTAGTTCAGAAGGGCAGCTGAATATGACCCCTTCTCATCCGGTGGATGCAACTCACCTGAGTCTCGGGAGAATGCATGGCCAGTCTCACCTGTTTCTGTAACACCCCAGCCAGAGATGTGGCATTCAGTCCCAGAGGGAAAGGGACTATCAGGCAAACACACGGTTTTCACATATTTGGATTCCAGGGCACAGTGACCATCCACTGGCTTTAGCTTGAGCAAAGCTAGGTAGAGAAAGGGGAGATGGACAATGATATCCTCTCTGTCGAAGAAGCATCAGCTTCAACTTGATTGGAAGGTGGTCGTAGCAAAGCCCCACTCCCAATGCCTAAGAACGTCTCCCTTGGTCATTTCATTCTTGTAACTTTCACCTGGGGAGGAGTAACTCTTCAGACTGAGAGCAATATTGGAATAGCAGTTGAGTTTTAAATAATTTCTAATCTATTTAAAAAAAAACCAGGCTTTAAGGGGGAAAAAGATTGAGGAAGGAGCGTGAATGTCCCATGACTGGAGAAATAGGGTACAGACTGAGCAGTAAGCAGCTTAAATGCATCACTGCCTACTAGGCAGAGTGAGTGGAGAGAGAGTGGAGTCGTACATCAGTGTCCCCATTTCACAGGAGACGGAACTGAGGCTTAGCGGGGTGAAGCCCGCTAATACATAGGGCAGCCAGGATTCAAGGCTGAGCTCTTTCCACAACACAATGCTCCTGGCATCTCTTCCCCTCAATGTAAGAGCTTGTGCACATTTATCTGCAATGCTAACACAGACTATTAAGAACTAAGAAAGCTCTGGGATAAATTCTCAACCTTATAGGGTCTATGAGGGACCAAAAAGATAAGAGCACCTTCTAGAGCCAAGCTTCAGCTTTCCGTCA